GGCTTGGGTTGGGCTTAGGCTTCGCTGATGCTGAGGCTTAGGCTTAGACTTAGGTTTAGGCGTAGGCTTCGGCTGAGGCCTACGCCTAAACCTAAGTCTTAAACTTAGGCTTAGGCTTGGGCTTGGGCTCGGGCCTGAGCTTAGGCTTGGGCTTAGGACTAGCTTGCTATTTTTCCCAGGCGCTTCAGCGGATGCACTTTGCCGTGCTTGGCGCATGAAACATCACAGGCTGAAGAACGCACCAACTTGCGGCCTCGTTGGGTCCCTAAAAACAACAGTGCATTCAGGCGTATTTCGGAAAAATTGGCCATAAAATCGTGGAAAGGGCAGTGGGGGTACTGTGGCGGGTTGCGTAGTCCTCTATCTCTCGCTCTCTCTCTCTCTCTCACTCTCTCTCTCTTTTTTCTCTCTTTCTCTTTCTCTCTCTCTTCTGATATACTCGAGAAAAATACCGTAATCTAGCCATATCTGCTCGGGTTTTCCATATCTGGCCATCGCCCCAAAATTCGAAACCACCAGCCATGTGTTTCTACACTCACGAATAGCAGTTCCGGGATATTCTACACTTTTGGGCGACGATAAACATCCACCGCATCCAATACTTCACTCCCCCCCCGCGATACCCACGAAATTGGGTGCCCTTTAAAGAGCAGGACATAGGCTACAGCAAAAATCAAGCATTACCCCTTGAATGGAAGGGCGGAAATGCACTTGGGAATGGCAGCAGATCAGATTACGGTGAGGGCAGGCTAGCAGAGATTGTTGAGGAAGAGGAGAGGGCAGGCTAGCAGAAATTGTTGAGGAAGAGGAGAGGGCAGGCTAGCAGAGATTGTTGAGGAAGAGGAGAGGGCAGGCTAGCAGAGATTGTTGAGGAAGAGGAGAGGGCAGGCTAGCAGAGATTGTTGAGGAAGAGGAGAGGGCAGGCTAGCAGAGATTGTTGAGGAAGAGGAGAGGGCAGGCTAGCAGAAATTGTTGAGGAAGAGGAGAGGGCAGGCTAGCAGAGATTGTTGAGGAAGAGGAGAGGGCAGGCTAGCAGAGATTGTTGAGGAAGAGGAGGAGAAAAAGGAAAAAAGGAAAAAAGAAAAGAGAGAAAAGAGAAAAGGCTAACAGGGTTTCTTGGGAATTCTTCGCGTTTTTATCAGGATATTGAGTCATTTCCGTAATCAGAATTTCCCATACTATATTTTTCTTTATTCACCAGAATTATTTTCCGGCACTGAAGCCCCCTAAAAATCAAGTGGCCCTTGTTCTGCGATGCCCTCCGCGTTACGCATATGGGATTATTTTCGAAAATACCGAAAACCCGAGCGTGTGTCTCGATGAGTTAGGGCACGGGTACTACCACTCGATTGTTATGCGGTATTTGTGGGGGTTTTTCAATTTTTCTCTCTGGCTCTTTCTCTCTCTCTCTCTCTCTCACTGCCCGCACCACAAAAATACAGCAAAGTTTTGACACTAGCGTTTATGACTCAAAAATTATTTTCTAGTTACGCGAATAAGTGCATGCCATTTCAGAGGTTTGAGGGTATAAATTGAGGAAACCCGTGAGGTGTGTTAAGGAGTCTGCCCTTGAAATTTACTCCTATGCTGTAAAGCACCATTTTTATCGGCATGTTCGTAAAAAACGAACTTCAAGATCAGGACAAACTAGCATAGACGCTTTGTGGCTCGCTGGGACCGGAAAGGTAGCAGAGGTTCTTTAAGTCTTTTAGCTCCTGGAACCTAGCAGAGATGCTTAGGAAACCAGCTCTAGCCCGGGCAGGCTGGCGGAGATCATTTGGTGTCGATTTTAGGCATAAAGCATCCTAGAAGGCACGGCAATTCAAGTTTTTTTTACGGAAATTTGCCATGAAAAGACCTCAATTTTAGTTTTTTGATTTCCAATTCAGGGCAGGCTAGCAGAGACCCTTAGCAGGCTACAACCAGCTCGCTAAAGTCCAGCCCAGCCCCCGAAAAAATCGATCCGGGTTGTGAGCGGGGGTGCCGTTTTTTCGTCCGGGCGTTCCCCCCTCTTTGGTTGGTCGTCGCGTCCACTCCGCTCTCAAACTATTGACGTTTCTTCCCCCCTACGAGCACACGGACGGACGAACGGACAGACAGATGGACAGAGTGAGACAGACAGACAGAGAAACGCTGGCTAACCCCTAGCCTGGCGAGCATTTCCGCTCTGCTGCGGAGTACATCCGCACTTTTCGTTTTGTAATGTCTCCTTGGATAAGGTTCAACTTCACGAAATTCTTTTGAGTTATACAAACATAGGGTTAGGTAGGCTTAGGCTTGAACTTCGGTTAAAGCTAGGCTTAGGCTAGGCTGAAACTTAGGCTTAGGCATAGGCTTAGGCTTAGGAGGCTTGCTTAGGCCTAGCTAAGCTAACTGGTCGCAATATTAGGACAATTTCAGCTATATCAACTACGTTGCCAAAATTTTCATAAAGATCATTGACTTCTCAGTGCCTTTAAAAAAGCCCTGAACTCTTCCCCAGCTGCCCTGAAAGTTCAAAGCCATCTAAGGGGAACGGGCGATTCATTCCGGCTGAGTTCACCCCTTCCGAACGGCCCGGCCAGATGCCCCAAACCTGTTGCCGCCCCTCTAAAAGTTCGCGCCGGCCTGGAAATCGAGGTCTGTGGCCTGTCTGAGCACGAACAAACCAATCGCACCCGGCGGTCGGACAATTTTCAAGGCCGACCCTCTATCCCCGCCAAGCCATTCTCAAGCAGAAAGTGACCCGCCAAAAGTTTGGCTCCTTCCTCAATGATTTCTGCTAGCCTATCTTGTGCCATAGGTCTTGTAAGTGTAAGCTAAGTCATTTCTGCTAGCCCACGCAGCTCATTTTCAGTTCCCAAAGGATCTCTGCTCGCTTGCATCCCTCTTTGCGATCTCCCAGATAGCCCCCCTGCTGCCCGAAAGATCTCTGCTAGCTTACCTTGCGCTTGAAGTCCACCTAGGCTTTGTCGCTCGTTTTTTCCTAAAGGCTTTCTGCTAGCCTGCCTTTTCTTGCTTTCTTTTTGTCCTGTTACGCTTCCGCTCAAGCAGTCTCCATGCTCAATCCGTGATGTTCCTTGATATTTTTAGGCTTAGGCTTGGCTTACGCTGGGGCTTAGGCTCAGGCTTAGTCTTAGCCTCCTGGCCCCTTTAAAGGGATACCCCAGGTTTTGGAGGCAAATATATAGTTATGTCTTCCGGCAAGTACAAATGACGCGCGAATTTTGTGCGCCAATGGGCGCCCATTGCCGCACAGAACTCGGACACCTTTCCCTCTTGTGGCGCCCCCTTCCCCCTCAATGGCTTGCCACTATGGCCTAATGGACAGCATCCAGGCCTACAAAACGGTGGTCTCGGGTTCGACCCCCGCCCGCGGCATGGTTTTTGCTTTTTGAGCCCCGAAAAGGTTGGGAATCCCTTTAACGAAGCCTCAATTCCTTCCCAAGCCCCGAAATAGCGTTCGCCTCCCCCACTCAGACATCTCGCCCTCTCCTTTTTTGCGTGTGTGTCTGTCCCTTATTCAGCGTTCCTCTCCCTTCCCCTTCTTGCCCTTTTCCATGGCTGGCTGGCCGTCCAGTCCTTCTTCCTGCCGTCAACTTTTTTCGCGTCTAGCCGAACGGGCCGAATTCAGCCTAGCAGCCCCAGCGTAGCCTCAGAGCACATCGTGTGAACGGGGGCTTTTCCAGATTTTTTCAATCTATTGGAGGCTTTAAAGGTGGAGGGATAAGAGAGCGATAGAGAGAGAGAGAGAGTGAGAGAAAACGAGGAGCGACGCTTAAGAAACCATTATGTAATGGTATCTAAGACCGAGCATGGCTAAAGCGAAAAGGTCAAAGTGCAAGCCAACGAGAGAGAGAGAGAGAGAAGAGAGAGAGAGCGTGCGAGACCACTAGAAAAGCCAGCCCAGCATTTTGTTTGTGAAACAGCCGGGGTGTGCTGGTGTGCAGTGCCCTTTCCAGCGATCTCGGCGGGTAGTGCGCTTGCACTTTTTCGTCTCAAATGGGGGGAGTGGGGTGGGGGTGAGAGAGCGGATGAACTTGAGAGAGAGGCCAGAGAGAGCAAGAGAAAGGGGGCGTGGCCTATTCCCGGGCCCAGCCACGCACAAATGCCTTTGCCCTTCCCCCCTACACCCACCCCATCCCCCCAAAAACATTCGCAATCGCCGAACCACGATTTCGTAGATATCGAAAATCTTTGTATTGTTTTACATAGAACATATATATTTACTGTTCTACCTTCAAAATGAGATAATTTTTAGCTTACACCCACAATTTTGCTTGAAAAACCTTTTTAACGACGGGTTTTGTATAATTTATTTCTTAATTTTCTTAGTTTTGGGTTTCAAGCTTTATGCAATTTTTTTTGTTTGTACCCCGGATTAAACAAAAAATTTATCCAAAATTTCCAAATTTAACGTTTTTTTTTGCTTTTCCACCACTAAGACGTTTTTAGAGATCTTACTTTTTCTTTCTGCAAGAATGTTATTTGTGTTTCTTTTGGTTTCCACTTTAAATGTTGCCAAAAGTTCCCAAATGCTCTCTGCTAGCTTGCCGCTAAAACTCCTGTCTGCTAAAACGCAATTTCCGCAAAGGATCGCTGTTGGCTTGCCCTATCAGCCCAGCTTTTGGTTCCTCATCAAATGATCTCTGCTCGATTGCTCTCAAAATCTCCACAGTTACTTCCAACGATGCTGAACAACAATTTTTTTATCTTACCCCATTTTTTGAGGGTCCGATCGGGATCTGTTTTGAGCTATTTCGCTTATCATTCGCCTCGTTTTCTCTCTCTTACTCTCTCTCTAGCTCCCTTTCGCTCTCTTTCCCCTCTCTATTTCCAAGGACCCCTAAAGGGCAGCCGTTCTGCACTTTCTGGGGATCAACTAGCCAAATCAAGATTCATTTTTTTTCAGGCCGATCGCCTACCAAAAAAAGAAGAAGATGAGCGAAGGCCACGTCTCGTCCTCCGAACTGTACAGATTACTATCGGGAAATGGCAGCAGCCAGGCCACCGACCTGCCGATGCTCACGGCATTCACGGTGAGTGAGCGCGAGAGAGAGGGAGCGAGAGAGAGAGAGCGAGAGAGAGAGGGATAGGAAGAAAACTTTTACGCTACCATCCTCAATAATCTCCGCTAGCATACGGTATTTTGTAAAACAGTGTTATTTTTAAGGTGCGTAAGGTCAACTCGTAGCCAAGGCACCACCAAATTCAAAAGAACCAACCGATTACGCTAGGCAAAATAATGTTTAGACAGAGAGAGAGGGAGAGAGAGAGAGAGAGAGATCTGCTCCCTGCTCCCTGTCAAGAATCCCTGCTAGCCTGCCCCTCAAACCCCGCGAATTTCAGACGAGCATCCCCACCACCCCCACCACCACGCCGTCGCTCTTCTCCCTATCCACCGACCCGAGCCACCAGATTGCTATTCTTGAACTGCAGGTAAATAGTCGTCCCCTGCGTGTCGCCATCCCTTTAAAAACCATTTTCCCCAATTTCAACAAACTTTTTTCAGCTTCGCCTAAGCATGCTCCAGCAAATGGCCACGTTACCCCAGATTCCCACCACCATCGAGGCGCTCAACCTGCAGATTTTGCAGAATCAAATGGTGGGTCGCATTCAGGCTAGGGCTTACTAGGGAAGTATCTGAACTTGCCATCGAATCTTGAAAAGTCAGATACACCATTCGACGCGCCGTGACGCGAGGATTCCAAATATGTAATAAAATCAACGGGAGCGCATAACGGTAAAAAGTTATGAGGGTTCAAAGTCGGCAAAATGACGAAAAACAGCAACTTTGAGACCCTGTATTATCCCGCGGAATGGAATTTAGTCTAAACTGATTAGTGCTCCCTGTTCAACAAAAAAAGCTCTTTCAAATGAGCTATATTACATACGGCTGCCAAAAATTTCCGCAAAAAATATTTTTGGAATGCAGGGTAAGGGGAGGGTATGGCCAGCTAGCCGAAGACTTTTCGAGAATTTCGCGTAAAGCGCAGGTAAGATAGCTCATTCGAAAGGAAATTTTCTGCTGATCGAGATGTACTGTTCCATTTTTGACGAATTAAATTCTTCGAATTCGCACAGAGCCTTAAAAGGGCGGTTTCCGATGATTTTGCCAACTTTGATATAGAAAGCGTCCAATCCTGGTTTTGTTGCCGGAGGTTATTTTATCATCGCTGGTGCTTTTTAGGGGCCACACAGTCAAGAAAAACTTATTCCCGAGTTTGGACATGCAAAAAGTAGGAACTGGTCAAAAAGCAAAAAATAAAAATCGTGAGGGGATCCGAACCCTGGTCATACAATCCAGAGACCCATGCGCACACCACTAGGCCACGAAACCGATGGACTGGGTGCGCTGGGAGGGGCTCTTCCAGCGGCGGCGGATTTCAATGTAAAACTTAAAATGCTCATAACTTTTTACCGTTATGCGCTCCCGTTGATTTTATTACATATTTGGAATCCTCGCGTCACGGCGCGTCGAATGGTGTATCTGACTTCTCAAGGTTCGATGGCAAGTTCAGATACTTCCCTAGTTAGGCTTGGGCTTAGGAGTAGGAGTAGGCTTTGGTTTAGGCTAGGCTAGGCTTGGGCTTAGGCTTGAGCTTAGACCTAGAATTAGGCTTAGGTTTAGTACTAGGCTTAGGCATAGGCTTAAACTTAGGCTTAAGTTTTCCGATTTCCTAAACGTTCTTTGCTCCCCCGCCCCCAATTTTTTTGAACCCACCTAGATCAATCGGATGCCCTTTTGGCTGGCTGTTTTCCAAATAGCCGCATACCCCACAAACATTTCTTCTCGCTGCCCGGGCACTGGGGCGAGAGAGAGAAAGAGCGAGAGACAGAGGGCGAGAGAGAGAGAGAGGAGGCGAGAAAAAGAGTATAGGGGGAAATGTTGTCACGCCGCTAGTGCACTTGGCCCCCTTGCCGTCCCCGCGCCTGGAAATATCTGCACACAACAACAATTCCCCTATGGTGGTGGACACGTCACGTGTGTATCTTTGCCTGCGTTCTGTGGAAGTACGTGGAATTGGGGTGGAGATGTCAAAAAACAAAGCACAATGATTACTAGGAAGTGCGAGAGTAGTTTGAGAGAGAAAGAACGAGAGAGAGGGAGAGAGAGAGAGAGACCAGGCTAGCTAGCAGAGGTCCTTTAGGACAAAGCAACCAATCCCCGGCAATTTATGGCCCGTAAAAGTTCATTCCTGATCGCCAAAAGGACAGGGCAGAAGCGGAAACCCGTTCTCGCCCCCCCTGCCCCACCGCTTGCACTTGCTATTTTTCGGTCTGGCTGCTCTCTCTCTCTCGCTTTCTCTCGCTCTCTGCCCCGCACGCGAATGGAAATTGGTTAATCTGTGCCCCAGGATTCGTGTTCGGCCGGGGTTGAAAATATTTACCCTCTTGAAAATGGAAATGGGATTGGTGCCACTGAAATAAGGGGGTTTGATACTTGGAAAAGATATAGAGCCCGAAAATACTGAGAAAGTGCGAAGTGCGAGAGAGAAAGAGAGAGCGAGAGTGTGAGAGAGCGATAGAGAGCGAGAGAAAACATAATTATTACGGGTTTTTTGTTTAACCGTACTTTTTATCAGTTTGCCCTCCACGCCTTCCGGGTTGCAGGCACCCCCAAAATTTGGCCTGGCTACACAGCACAACTAATGCCGGTTCTCTCCCACTCTCTCTCTCACCCTCTCTCTCACGCTCTCCATTTAAGGGAGTGTTGCCCTTTCTGTTTTCCCTGTCCCCCTTTTTATGAAAAATCCGGCCCCCGCCGCCACAACTCGAAAATAACAAAATACGACCCGATTTTTGGCCAAGGGGATGAGAAATGACAGGCGGGCAGAGATCATTTGGGAAATTGGAATTCGAAAAATTGGATCTTTGGAAGTGCCAGGCTGGCAGAAACCATTCAGGAATTCTTCTTACATCCAGGGGCAAGCTGGCAGAGATTCTTTGACAAATCAAAATTTCCAGCTGAACTACTCGACCAGCTCGGCGATGACCACCATGGCTCCCTCGGTTTCGAGCGGTTTCCTGGCGCCTCCGACTCAACTCTCGCGCTCGGTTTCTACCTACGAGGAGCTGCTCAAAGCCGGGCAAAGTATACCCCAGATTAAGGTATGATTTTGGTGATATCTCTATTTAACCGTTCATTCACACTTTCTCTCTTTCTCACGCTCTCTCTCTTGTTCTCTCTCTCCCTTTCTCTCTCTCTTTCTCTCTCTTGCTCCATATTAAAATCTATAATTTTAGCAAGAACCCAGCACCATGCAACCGAAAAGTCCAGAAATTCGTCGTCGAAAACGATCACGAGCCAGCGCTGAGCCCCAGGTAATTTTTTGGTCCTAAAAATCATCGGAATTTTGCATAGATAAAATCTTTAAGATTCTAATTAACTCTAAAGTCTAATGCTCATCATTTTTAAGGTCTCAATCCTCCGGCAACTCTGCGAAAATGACGACGAAGACGAGGTCATCAAGCTTGCCCCAAAGCGCTCCGTCAGCTCCCTCCCGATCCCCGATGTATATCGTAAGCTTTAGAAAAATATACACCCTTAATAGTTATAAGTTAACGGTTTTTGTTAGAAATAACTTTGTCATAATCACAGCACAGGAGATTTCAGCCCTAAAAAGAGAGCTCTCCCAAACGAGCCTCGGCACCCCGGCCGAGATGCGGGCCATGGAGCGTCGGCAGAAGGTGTTGCGGGAGGAAGACCTGCCGGAGAGTGTCGGACCCGACAGCCCGCTGAGGCATCATCCTAAGTATCTGGTGGGTACTTTAAATCCGGAGTTAATATCGTCTTAATGCGAAAAAAATCGGCTCAAACCTAAAAAACTTTTGAAAAGCTCATAACCTTCCCAAAACCCAGTATATTGTTATCATTTCTAACTTTATTGGACTCCCCTTTTTGAGAGCTTTCGATTGGTATAATTAACTGTAAGTGAAAATTGCGTATTAAGGAGATAGCGCGCCTTAAAGTTGGCACCCTAACAAAATACTTTTGTTTTTGGGTATTCAACCGATTACCGACGATTGCCTTCTCCTTCATGCGTAACGAGTTGTAGTCCGTAGCGGCTCTAACTTAAAAACCTGAGTACATTCTTTCGATGTCCTTTTTCTGACAAGGGGACCCGGAAAACAATTCAGAACATGTCAAAAGGGCAGATTTGTCCTTGCCTTTCTCGCTCTCTTTAACTCTCTCTCGCTCTCTCTCACTGGCTCTCTTTCGCCTTCTCTCTCCCTCTCTCCCTCTCTCTCTCTCTCTCTCTCTCTCTCTCTCTCTCTCTCTCTCACTCTCTCTCTTGCTCTCCCTGTTTTTTGGCTTCTTTATTCTGTAGGCATTCTTTGCTAGAATGCCTGTCTTCTTAAGAGTTCCCGAAAAATCTCTGCTAGCTTGCCTAACCCTGTAACTGTTCCTAAAGCACCTTCGCTAGCTTGCCCAACTTCTTAAGCGCTCCTAACGAATCCTGCTAGCTTGCCCGAGTTTCCAAGTCCATGAAACTAACCGATTTTTCACGTTTCCCACCACTCACGCCCAGTATGCCCTTGAGGCCCCGCAGAGAAGAAGCCCTAACTAAAGGGAAGTGCAAGGTTGGGAAACAAGCTTGGCCTTGGGGGGAGGCTATTTGCCGTCGGTGCCCCCGGGGTATCTAAAGCCGCCCTCCGGCTCTACTGGGTGCAGCTGCCCTATCCAGGGGTTTGTTGAAAAACGCCGTAAACAACCCAGAACCACCGTATCCGGGGGGAAGTGACGGGAAGGTAGGCTTAGGCGAGTTCTTAGGGAGGATAGAGCATTTTTTTTAAATTTTTTAAAGGGGCAGTGACGGGAAAGAAAAATGTTGGGCGAGAGAGAGATAGAGAGAAACAGAGAGGAGAGATATTATGAAGATGTTTGGAAAATTTCCTGAAGGATCTCTGCTAGATTGCCTAGCCATCACAGTTTTTTTCCTCAAGTGTCTCCGCTCGCTGGCCTAGTTAAACCTGAGAGATCCTCAAAAAACTCTGCTAAACTGCATACCTTACGCCTATCCTTTCCTTATGAATCTCTGCTAGCTTGCCTACCTATAGACAATTGTCCTAAAAATCGCGGCTATATTGCCTAGCCATAACATCACGATTCCTCAATAATCTCTGCTGGTTTCCCTAGCCATCTGTCATTTCTCCAAAAATCTCTGCTAATTTTCACTTTCCCCTACCTCCTAAATGATCTCTGCTTAGATATTTCGAGACAGAGCCAAAAAAACCCCAAATACTACCTCAAAACAAGAAAACCTAACTAATCATCGCTCACATGTTCTCCGAGTCACCCCTCCGCCCTAATCCGCGGCTCTACGAAACTAGTCAAGTAGCGATGTCTAAATCCGGGGGCAGTTTTGGAGGGTCAAAAGTACGCAAGTACTACCCCCTCCGTTCCACTCCAAATAACACCCCCGTGGTGTCCGCTCGACGATCGCCTATTTTCGTGATTACAAGAGCGGAGCCGGGCGGAAAGTATGGATGTGAAAGTGGCGAAATTTTTGGGGGTTTCGAGGTGTATTTCGGAATTTAAATTGCCGGGAAAGTGCACAGAAAGTCGAAAAATTATATGGCTTAGGCTTAGGCTTGGCTTTCAGCGCGTGCCTACAACGGCCCTTGAAAACCCATATTTTTCAGCGCCAAAGCAAGAACGCCGGCGACTTCGAGGTGATAGCAGCAATGTGCTTTGCTAGCGGCTACATGCCGGATGAGATCAAGGAGCGATATGCTCAAAGGTGAGCTTGGAATTCCTGAAAAATTTCTGCTAGCTAGCTCTCTCCTCTTCCCCAACAATCTCTGCTAGCCTGCCTTCTCCTCTTCCTCAACAATCTCTGCTACCCTGCCCTCTCCTCTTCCTCAACAATCTCTGCTAGCCTGCCCTCTCCTCTTCCTCAACAATCTCTGCTAGCCTGCCCTCTCCTCTTCCTCAACAATCTCTGCTAGCCTGCCCTGTCCTCTTCCTCAACAATCTCTGCTACCCTGCCCTCTCCTCTTCCTCAACAATCTCTGCTAGCCTGCCCTCTCCTCTTCCTCAACAATCTCTACTAGTCTGCCCTCTCCTCTTCCTCAACAATCTCTGCTAGCCTGCCCTCTCCTCTTCCTCAACAATCTCTGCTAGCCTGCCCTCTCCTCTTCCTCAACAATCTCTGCTACCCTGCCCTCTCCTCTTCCTCAACAATCTCTGCTACCCTGCCCTCTCCTCTTCCTCAACAATCTCTGCTAGCCTGCCCTCTCCTCTTCCTCAACCATCTCTGCTAGCCTGCCCTCTCCTCTTCCTCAACAATCTCTGCTAGCTTGCCCCTCCTCTTTTTTTTAATAGAATGGTCTCAAACGTCTTTATCAATTAATTCTTTCCAGACGCTCCGTCTCCTCCAGCCCCGAGGTCCCCAAAGCGGACACCGAGTGCCCGATGGAGGACTTCATCAACGGCGTCATCTCCCGCGAACTGATCTCATGCGAGTAAAGAGTACTACGGCGTAGCTCCACCTATTTCCCCCCAGGTTTATTAGCCCCTTTAAACTTCCCAATTTCCACAATACTTGTCAAATCTATCGGGTATTTCGCAGCCCACAGCCCGCCAGTACACAATTAATTTATACGTACACAGTACCCTGGACTTTGACCACAGTACCCTGCTACCTACAGTATCCTGTTAAACTTTGAATACCGTACCCAGATTTTGTTTTTGTTTTTAAGTACCTTGGAATGATTTTTGTGTGCCCAGTTATTTTCAGTACCCTCGTATAACCCCAGAAAGTTGACTAAGCCTAAGCCTAAGCGTTAGCTTAAGCCCTAAGGCTAATCCTAAGCCGAGGCTTCAACTTAAGCCTAAGTCTAAGCCTAAGCCCAAGCTAACCCTAACCAACAATTTCCAGTACAGTACCCCCTAAGCATACCGAATGCCGTACCCTCCACCTACCGTACCCCAAATATGAAACAATTTTTTGCGTGTTTTTCCACAGTTGATCCTCCCTAGTCCGATACCCCCTTTCCCGAACAGTTCCTTTCCATTTATGTTTTGTCATTTTTGTGGCTCATACCAAAAAGATTCCGCTAAAACGTTGCTCGCCCAAATTGCAGATTCCGAATTCTTCCTTCTTCCGCTCTCATTCCAAATATTCTAGTTTTTTGTCTAGCTTTTCTATAATTTTTTTCTGGTTCCCTGTTGTACAATTTGTAATTCAACTCCCTTGCCCCCTAGCTCATTTTATTTTTCGAATTTTCGTAAAGTTTTGTTTGAAAATTTCCGGTTTGAAAATATCGAGTAACATCCCCCGCAGTCGAACCATCGAGTAGCCCCGTCCCCCATCTTGTGTGTACGTATTTTTCTTCCCATTTTTTTTTGTGCTTTCCTAAAGACTTGAAGTCATCTTTGATTCCTTTCGTATTTTTTGAGTGTGTTGTGTTGATGCAGATAAAATCTTGTCATATCGAACGATTAAACTGCAAATTCACATGAGTGCGTGCATGCATTGGCTTAGGCATAGGTTCGGCTTAGGCTTAGGTCTGGCTTAGGCTTAGGCTTAATCATAGGCTTAGGCTTAGGCATGGGAATGAGCTTGGGCTTAGGCTTATGCTTGGGCTTAGCCTTAGGCAGGCTAGCGCTTAGGCTTTTAGGCTTCGGCTAGGGCTTAGGCTTATGCTTAGGCTTAGGCTTAGGCTTCGGCTTCGGCTTCGGCTCTTGGGGTCAAAAATTATTTTTTTTTTATGCTGTGCGTATGGTGTGTTGAGACAAGTCAAAGAACAAGAAATAATTGGAATGCTGATTTTTATTTTTTGTACAGTTTTCAATTGCTTCCCGGCGCCATCGTGGCCATCATTGAGTTTGCGGGTGCGGGCAAGATAACTGGCGAGGATGTGGCGGTGGCAGTCTGGAAAGGAAAATGTTTTGAGCAAATTGACGATTGGCCAAAATGGTAAAGTGTTGGCTTGGTAGTCACAAGGCCGAGGTTCGATTCCGGACGCCGATCATCTTGTTTTTGCTAGAAATCTGGCAAAACTCACGGCATTCATCGAGGAGTTGCTGGCAGAGGCGGCCGCGAGGGGCATCGTTGTGGCGGCTGTCGTCTAAAAATGATAAGTATAAATTGAACTTTTAAGACTGAGTTAAACGCAAGTGCAAGCCGAAGCCTAAGCGAACCTAAGCTCCCACTTACCGTAGTAGTCGGGGCAGACTGGGCGAGCACGAGGGCCGAGATGAAGATGATGGCAATCGTGGCGGCGTTCATTGTGGAGGTTTTGAAGCTGTTGCGGAACTGATGCCAATGGGAAACCCGGCCAGTTATTTATATCCAGACCCCGGGGGTTCCCCGCAGTTCACACGCCTTTTCACGACTTGTAACTCTATTTGTGAGTGGTGTTTGGGGCGGGCGGTCAATTTTTAGCACACCGGCCAATTCACGCCGATGTCTAAGCGTCTCGGGGGGAGGGTCTCGAAAAGTTTGGGCACTTTTCGGGGTTTTCGGTGAGGCGCAAGGGTTTTCTCTCACTCCCTCTCTCTCTCCCTCTCTCTCTCTCCTCTCCCTCTTTCTCTCTCTCTCTCTCTCTCTCTCTCTCTCTCTCTCTCTCTCTTTCTTTCTCTCTCCCCTCTCCCTCTCTCTTTCTTTCTGTCTCTCTCTTTCTCGCACCTACTCATCTTGCAAAAGCTTCTATTTTAAGTGGCAACAAACTTCTGCGACGTACGGTTCGGGCAGGCAGGCTTGCAGCGAACCCTAAGGACGTAGTCCTGCTTGTTTTATTAATTTTTTTTACAGTAAATTCCTTCCTATTTAAAATATCGGTAATTGATGTGTAAAATTTGATGCAGGGCCTTTTACCCGTTCGCGAATTCAAAAAAATTCATCATCCTGAATCTCCTTAATGCTTAATTTTCATCACGAACAAAGTACATCTCTCGAAAACCCGCAAAAGTAGATGCTAATTGAGCTCAAGGTGACCAAAATCCATCTAAAACACTCCAATTTTGCCCCATTTAAGCAATTTTTTGATCTTTCCGGGATTGCGATACCCACCGGTTGGGTTTTCACGTTTTGCCATTTTGTGCCCAACCCGAGGAGGCTGATCAGAAACCGAAGCCGAGGGACAAGAATAGGCCACCAGGTACCACCGATCGGAAAGCAAACAGCAAAAAATAGGAAAAGTTCGGGGTGGCACGCCTGTCGTTGCAAATCAACGGCAAATATACTCCCGAAACACCACTCCCCGACATCCCGAACATATCATATATCTTAGGCTTAGGTTGAAGTTTGTGTTTGGGCTTGGGCTTGGGCTTGGCTTAGGCTTAGGCTTAGGCTTAGGCTTAGGCTTAGACTTAGGCTCAGGCTCAGGCTTAGGCTTAAGCTTAGGCTTAGGCCTCAAGATCCCGAACATATCATATTTTTTACGCTTAAGCTTAAGTTCGTGTTAGGGCTTGGGCTTAGGCTTGCGTTATGCTTAGGCTTAGGCTTAAGCTTGGCTTAGGATCCGTTTTTTAGTTTTCTCTCTCTCTCGCTCTCTCTCTATCGTATTGCATGATCAATCTTCATAAATTTATTATTTTCATAAAGCTATGGACAATAAATTTCACAAACTTTGGGTGGGGGGAAGATCACAACATCGGACACGTAGAAAATATCAAGGAATCATCAAGGGTGTTTTTTGGGGAGGAGCACCTTGACGAGGACTGGCCTTTTGTGGGATTGAGATTTAGTATTGTTCTGGGAGAAAAGTAGCACGGGCGAGCGAGAGGGAAGGAGCGAGAGAGCACGAGAGAGCGAGATAGAGAGCGAGAGAGAGAGATGAGCAAATTAAGGCGTATTTCATTAATTTGGTTTAATCTCGACTCATGGGGTCCATTTATCAATGTGGATTTGTACATAAGCCGATTTCAACATTGTAAACATTAAATCGATAGATCGGCGATGTCGGTATTCTCTGAAAAATCGGGAGGTCTAGTAAAATTCTAAAGGCATAGCGACGTCTAGCACTTCGTTTGAAGTTTAAAATTCTAACTTTCCCTTACTTTGTGAAATGGTCGAGAAGCCGTATCTCCGACCCGAGATGCTTGATCTGGGAACGGACGACGACGTACGACAACACCGGAAGTAGGTCGTCGGCACTCCACGTGTGGTTGCAGCCGGCGTCGGCGAATTTGAACACGCACTAAAGAGAGTTGGGAAATAGCCTTGCCTTTAAATGGTTGTATTTAACAAGTTTAAATAGTCAAATTAAAATTTCCACGCTACCTGGGTGATCTCCTCAAAGGTATCAGCCAGAATCGCGAGCTTCGTGGTGGGGTTGGCGTCGGTGGAGAGTTGCTGAAGGGCCAGGATGGCCGATTCGTAGAATTTTCGGCGGGCACAGGCGCGGATCTGAAAAATAGGAAGTGCTATCGAGAGAGAGAGAGAGGACGAGAGAGCGAGAGGGAGAACGAGAGAGCGATAGTGAGCTAGGGAGAAGGAGAGCGGGAATGGGAGACAGACCGAGTGCGAGATAGGGCAAGGCAATGAGCTAGAGGCAGAAAGAGAGAGAGAGAGAGAGAGAGAGAGAGAGAGAGAGAGAAACAGAGGGAGAGAGAGAAAGAGAGGGAGAGAGGGGGAGATAGCCAGAGAGAGACAGATAGCCGCCAAAGTCGCCCACCAATGGTTTATCCAAATCGCCGACGGATGGCAGCTCGATAGGCCATAGCTCACTGAAAAATTGTATTTGGCGGAAATTTTTTGCGTTTTCGGAGCTCAAGAATTCCATTACATTCCAAACTACAAATCCAAATCATACCTACCGTGGCACTTGGAAATATTCGAGCAATTTGACGTCGGTATGCGCGTTCAGGTACAGCGCCCGGTTCCAGTAGATGGCGTCGAGCTCCGCGGAGGAGAGGCTAAATGGCGGACCGGGTACTGTAGCCCAGGTTACTGTAGATACCTGTAGATGGTGAAGATGATGGGCGAGACGCGCGGGAAGAGGAAGGCGTATAGGAATTCGCAGGCTGGGGTTGGGACCTCGATTGGTGGGGCTGGGTCGGGGCTGAAGTACGTTTGGGTTTAGGCTTAGGCTTAGGCTTAGGCTTAGGCTTAGGCCTAGGATTAGGCTTAGGTTTTGGCTTCAGTGGTTCCTTGATATACCAACCCAGTCCTTGCGGGCGAACCCTCCGGAGAGGTCGCGGAATCCACAGAAGCGCTCCGTTTCGACATACTCTCCGGCATAACCTCATAGGGATCTTTTGGCAGGCTCGGGAAAAGTAGCCTAAATTTACGTTTCTAAATTCAGGATGTTAATCTACCTGATAATCTTGTAGTTCTCCTCGATGAGACTTTTGAGCTCGAGGGTGGCTTGGGAGTACAACGCCGCATGGGTGGCCATGTTATTGTAGGAGCAGGTGAACAACTAAAAACAAAACTAAAAGAGAGAGAGGGAGAGAGAGAGAAAGAGAGAAAGAGTGAGAGAGAGAGAGAGAGCAAGGCTGAAAGCGATCCCGCAAACCTACATCTACAGTTCCATGGCACAACCGCCAAAGCGGATGTGGCTCGTAGTTCATCGCCTAAAAATACCGTATTTAATCAAATTTAAAAGACACCTACCGCATTAAAATATTCGTGCAGCATCACTCGGTACCCAGGTGTCCAAGGGGCATCGTAGCAGGGGATTTGCTCGAGGACCGGAAGTGCACATGGGCTAAAAAGGTATAGGCTTAGCTTAGGTTAGGGTTGGGCTTAGCTTAGGCTTATGCTTAGGCATAGGTATAGGCCAGGTTTAGCTTAGGCTTAGGCTTAGGCCTAGGCTTAGGCTTAGGCTTAGGCTTAGGCTTAGGCTTAGGCTTGGGCTTGGGATTTCACACTCAAGCTAGCAAAATTTACCCAGTATCCCGCATTTGACCGCTCATCTCCTTCCCCTTCCGTATCCCGGAGACGATCTTTTGCCAAACGATGGCCGTCTCGGTGAAATTGCCTAAAAATTTAGGCTCCAAGTTTTGGATTTTATGCAAACCTCCGAGCTCGTCCTCCACAAAAATCTCAAACATTTGGCTCCAACGTTCGCTGGTCGAGGGTACATGGGTGGATTCGCGAAGGCATTCCCTAAAAATGGCATATGGTACTTGAACGAATGAAAGAGAGAGAGAGAGAGAGAGAGAGAGAGAGAGAGCGGGAGAGCGAGGGAGCGGGCACTAAACCTCAATACCAAAAATCGTAGGCTTTAAAGGGAGCATGTCCGTTAGGTGAGAAATCCTTTTAATGCCTAGGTCATGTCTCACTCTATCTTTCTCTCTCACTCGCTTTCTCGCTATTTCTCGCGCTCTCTGTCGCTCTCTTACTCTCGCTGTCTCTATCTCTCTCTCTCTCTCACTCACTGTTCCTCTCTCGATCTCGCTCGGGCGTTATCTCGTTATCTCTCACTATCACGCTCTCGCTAGCTGTGTCTCTCACTCTCTCTCGCTCTCTCTATCACTCTCTCTCGCTCTCTCTCACTCTCTCTCGCTCTCTCTCTCACTCTCTCCTTCTCTCACTCCAAATAAACCCCTTACTCTTCCAAAAATCGCTCAATCAGATCCATATTTTCGTTCATCGTCACCCGTCCATCCACAATTTGCACCTCATCGTTGAGGACGTTTCCGGAGAACGTTCCGTGTATCGTCGCGTTGGGAGCGAGGCGAAGGGTTCCCTATTTTTTCGGTAGAATTTAAAACATTTTCCCTACCTTCCCGCTGAGGATACCGTAATCCTCGAAATTGCCCTCGTACTCGACGGAGAAGTTGTTTTGGTTGGCCGGACCGACGAGGCATCCCGACTATAAATAGGTTTTTATAGTTATGGTTTCGTCTCCAAAATTTTTATAGTTATGGTTCTAAAGTTTCTAAAGTTTTGTAGTTGTGGATTTTTTGTAGGTGCAGCTGCATGAGGTTGTTATAGGGGTTAGCCAACCCAAAAAGCTGCCCCTCCTACCGTAATCATGTCCTCTTGCCAATTGCCCTCATGGTAAGTCCCATCTATCGTAATTCGACAGCCCCGCCCGTGTAGTTTGTCGTCTTGCCACTCGCCCAGATAGCGAGTTTCTAAATACAAATTGGATTGAAACCATTAAAGTTTAATTTTACATAAAAAATCAAAAAATATGTTTCGAAAATATAAAATTTGGGAGCTACATTTTATACAAACTCTCACTTCTTGTCGTGTGCACGCCATAGCCATGCCGTTTCCCGTCTTTCCAGCCTCCTTAAATGCGCATAATTTTAACTTTACAAAATCGAAAACTA